ATTAAATTTAAATTTATTTGTAAAAAAAAAAAAAAAAGAAAAATAGAAAAAGAAATATGGACATAGTTTTCAAAACATACGCGAATTTCATTTGAAAATTTCAAAGGCAATTTTTGGCAACACTTGGTTTTGTCTTGAATTCTTATTAAAAATAAATAGTAATAAAAGTGTGATATAATAAAATGATAGAGAAAAATAAAAAAAAGTGAAACGAAACGAGAGATAAACACAATGACGAGAATATACAGAAAAGATAAAAGGGGAAAAAATAAAAGAAAAGAAAAAGAACAAAAAAAGAAAATAAAGTCCCAATAGAATTTTCTTTCAATCTTCATTCAAGTTTGTTCGTAATTCGCACAGAGAAAATACTAACATCGATATTCCTGTCACGGAGTATAAGCACGATTTCATAACACCGCGTGCTTCGCATATTTAGAATCGTCTAAACGATTGGAAAGATCTATTTTATATTATTCTGACGTAAATATCTAAAGTAAACCTTTCTTTGCACTTTATTTTCACTTAACATTTTTCTTTTTTTCTTCTTTTATTTAGATCAAAAATTAATCATAACAATTGCAATGATCAAAATTACGCAAATGAAAGAGAAATTATTTTCAAATATTTAATACAAACTTCAAAATCATTTTCAAATATTCAATCAAACTTCAAAATCATTTTCTCCTTTTTTTTTTGTTTTCTTTTTTTCGTTGTAATAAATTCGTGTGTAAAAATATAAAACGATAATAATGAGTCACGTTTAATGGAATAACGCGTTTTCCCATAATGTGTTGACTACAAAATTAACTTTCAAGTGCTATAATTTATAAAGCTTAATTACTCGATTTTCCGAGATCCTAATTAATCGACCAACTTCCGACCGGGGGTTAGCATTGAATGCTTGGCTAGAACTGAAAACGTGCTTTCTGCTACCAAAGAGAACGATATCAACTTGTATCGTATTGACAAATTCCTATATACCTACATATATATACCATGTATTATAATACGTGTGTATGCAGTTAATTGCTTAGCATACAGAGTGTTTTAAGCTTTTATTTCGAGTTTTATGGAAAAAATAATTTGGTCAAGTCAGATGTGACTTAAATAGTGCAAAAAGTTGATAAACTTTTAGATGATAAGATGATGTTCTTTCTCATTTTTGTATTCATGTCAGAATACTGTGATAATATTTTATGGTAGAAACCTTAAACACCATGTATATATCATAGTACCTATCGTAGGACAATTCGTATCTTGTATAAATCCTGTTTATCGAGTCAAAGGACATATTGGCCTTTTTCAATCCTTTTATATCGGTCCGGTTTCGTTGTATTTCAAAATAGATCATGTTATATTTCTCTGCTTCTTGTTTTACAATAGACAAAAGAAATGAATCGTCCATTTCGATCTGAAATAACGAAAAAAGCATCGACGGTTATATCCGTCGACTTTTCCCATCAACGAGAAAGCACGACGACGTGAGAAAATCTACGAGAATTTCTTCGCGTTCGTTTCGATATCGACCGAGTGTGTGTAGATAAAAGAAAAAAGAGAGAAAACAGAGAGAGAAAGAGAGAGAGAGAGAGAGAGAAAAGATAGGAAAAAATACGAAAGGATGAAAGAAGGATAAAGAAAAATATATATTGCAAAGCATCGTGTTACAATATAACGCGTTAAACGTCTTGAATCGCAATGAGATACTTTAACGATGGATGATCTTAGGATCGTGGATATACGTTACTAATAATTATTATTTATAGTATAATATATATTATTTATATTGTGCTTTACAATTTGTTCATTGACATTAGGTAAATTTATTTTGTTTGTTAACACGTGGGTGGTAATTTATTATCTCTTCAAGATTTATATATTCAATAAATATATAATAATAAAATTATTGATACCTTCACATAATTGTTGTTGTTGTATCGTAAATATGAATTATTTTAAATTAATAACTAATATTATTTTAATTATTAATAATTTATTATACAATTTGTTCATTGACATTAGATAAATTTATTTTATTTGTTAACACGTGGGGGTGTGCTAATTTATTATCTCTTCAACATTTATATATTCAATAAATATATAATAATAAAATTATTGATACACATAATTAGTTGTATCGTAAAAATTATTTTAAGTTAGAATTTAATATTTTATTTTAATTATTAATAAATTTTTCTATTGTTCATATATTTTAATAAAAGTCAAGATTTCGAATTCTATATGTATAGTATAGGGTGGTTTTAGTCATTGGTGAAAATTACGCATGCGCACACTTTAGGTAGAAATGAAAGGGTTAATAGAAGTAGATTATTCGATTTGACGCTTATAAACGGGAGCGCCTTAACGTCCTCTACGATTTGCATATGTTTCAGGGAATTTGTTCGTTATAGCGGTGATCCTGTTGGAACGGAACCTACAATCCGTGGCAAATTATTTAATCGTGAGCCTGGCCGTCGCCGACCTTATGGTTGCTTGCCTCGCCATGCCACTCGGGGCTGTTTACGAGGTACGTAATTTGCTGACTATAATAGACCACTGCGAATTATGACCATACGATAGCCATGTCCTCATATACATATACCTATATATATAGATTTCATACAATCGACCCTAATCCTTTCGTGAATGGTCAAGAAAAATATTATTATTCCATAGGATAAACGTGATAGATGAATAAAAGAATAGTTGGAAAATACCATTTTATGGGAATCATTTGAAATGCGTGAATGTGTGCCCACACATAAAATTTACCAGATAAGTGCATCATTCTTTTAATGTCCTCAACACTAAATCTATTTTTATTATTTAATTAAATATTAGGATTTATCAAAATATTATTATCCAAAGTTTTGATTAAATCCATACTTTCATTTTATGAATAAAATTTGTAAGTTTAACATATACATAGAGAGAGAGAGAGAGAGAAAATAATAAGCTTGCAACCTATGATTACTGTAGTCAGTTTTAGAATGAAATTAGACGACGGTTCATTTATGACAAACGTCAGTCTAGTGTATAAATAATTCATTATAAATAAATCAACCTTGATCTTTAGAATCGATATTGGAAAAATAAAGACCTATCTTAGTAAGAATATCAACATTTTTCTATAAAGTTACATAAATCTAAGACATTAAATGTGGTCACCCTTTAAAGAATATTCTCTTATGTAGAAGATTCAAACGGTTATGTTGAACATCGGTTGGCATAGGTCATGGCCTAGCTTGGCCTAGGCGTAAATAATGGCCTAGGTCACCATATCTCTGATGATATCCCTTTTGTGCATTGATTCCATAACTAGAGTACCTCTCTATAACCATAGCCTTAGGGAAATTGTAATTCACAGTAATATTTCCATAACTATCATAATTAAAATCATATTTGTTTATCATTGATATAATGATAATATTTTTCAATGATTTATTATGCTGATCCTATTTACATCTAATTTTTAAAATCATAGCTAACGACTATTGTCCAAACAAGTTTTCAAATTGTATATCTCATAAAATGCAACAACGATATACGAAATGCAATGCATTAATGTTGAAACTCTCCAGGGTTTGTCATATTATTCGGTATCTTGAAAGGAGATCTTCTCCCAAATGAAATGAGATGAGAGAATATTGAACGAAATTCTAACTCTTGCCATAAGTTTCTTACTTACTTGAACATCTTTTCATCTTCGTATATTTGAATGAATGAAACTATATGATTTTAGTATTCTCATATGTATAGTTTTGTCTTATACAAAATCTTACTTCACGATATATGCAATTATTATTATTATTATTATTATTATTAATTAAAATTGTGAACGTTTAATTATAATAAATTCAAATATATTCAAATAAATAAAATATATCAAATGATAATTATTTTCGTTGTTATTATTATGATGAATATAATTGTCAATCATAATTCAATTGATTAAATCCAACTTTTAATGTGTTTGATAATTTGATGAAATAAAACAAAATTGAAATAAGATTTTATTGACACGATTCGATTCGATATTTCATCATAGTATTCTGATTTGACTATATACGTGACATTATCTGTTTTACAATGCCGAATATCTATTTATATATATATATATATATATATATATAGATTTATGCGTGGACATGCGTAGAGACGAAACGTAGTCGCTACGTGAGCGTGACCTACATGCAAACAAACCCCGTTGGATCCCCGTTAGATTTTCCACGCAACTGCTATTGTTATTGATCTCTGATACCGCTGATTTGACAAATCAGCGAATTTCAATGTACGATAGATACGACTTTTGTATGTAACGACGAGCATGCCGAACTAAATTTATATTATGATCATTACTCCCCCCCCCCATTTTCGCATTAGTCGATCAAACGAAAAATAAATTATTCTCATCTCGTCATAGCTTTTCATACTATGAGAAATATGGGATGGATAGGGGATGGTACGTACAAGGTGGAAATGAAATTATCGAATGATAGGTGTATGATTTGAGAGAACGAATGATTTTCGATTAGATAGAATTCCCATTCCCCCATTTTTTTGTTGTCACATTTCTCTTCGCATTTTCTTTTCTATTTTACAAAAAAAAAAAAATAAAAAAAATGTGAATATTATTATAAAGCTTATGATTTAACAAATAATTATTCTTACCATGATATTGCTTTCAACAAAATTTCTACTGTAATTATCTCGATAGAAATCATCAACCCAGATATTGACAATTACATTTCATTTTAATCGATCTTCAATTATTCGTCGTCTACTTCTCGTTATCCATTTGTTGTATTTTATTACAAATAAAAGTAAAAAAAGAAAGAAAGAGAGAGAGAAAGAATATAACATTTATATGTTCGTGTATAATATTGATATATATATATATATATACCTACGTAAATAGAAATATTATTTGATCTGTTTAATATCAGATGATTTTAGGTAACGAATTACAAATTTTAGATTAATTACATGGAATTATAATCAAATATAGATATATGAGATATGTAATGTAATTTATTATCATTCAAAATAATGGTAGAGTAATAAATTTAGATTTTAGATAGAATGAATATTTTTGGTATTACATTACACCATAAAATGATTTGAATAATACCTTGTCACATACATCTATACAGTTGTATATTTATTACTAGGGGTGCCCCACCACGCGTTGCTGTAGCTCACAATCAGTCCGATACACACGTCTTTAAGTCAATTGCGATTATAAATTGAGATATAAACAATTCTATCTTCCAAGTTGGATGAAACTGCATACAGTGTGCAAAATTTGATGAAAATCGGTTTAATAATTTAGGAGTCTATTGCGGACAAAAACGTGACACATAATTTATATATATATATTAAGATGTATACTAAACAAAAATAATTCTTTAATATTATCTTCAATTATTATCAAAGCTTACGTGATACTCAATACATTGACAGATTCATTATCACCCTCATCTTTTTTCGATAAAGTAAGAACGATGGATCAGAGATGTTATCAAATTTAGAAACATTTATTATTAAATTTTGTTAATAAAAATATTAAAATGTTATAAAAGTATAACGAAATTTAATTAAAAGCAATATCAATTAGTATCATCATAAAGAGAGACATACATAGAAAATTTACTGTCAATCTGACAAAAGTTTCTAATTTATATTCAATAACAATAAGAATTTCAATTATTAATTTGAAAACACGTACTGTTACTGACAATTAATCGCATACCTGACGACAAAGCAACCGGTTAAGTTATGCATCTGTAATATACGAAGTGTAACAGCAAGAGGAATACAAAGAAAATTAAAAAAATTAAAAAAAAAAAGGACAAGTAAAAAAAAAAAAGAGAGAGAGAGAGAGGTCTTCCGTGAGAACGTTTAAAATGGTTTCAAAATAAAAGTACTGTTTTACGTGGGCGTTAGGTGCTTACGTAATAT